GTTGATATCTTGACCTTAGTTTTCTACTTATACCATAATTTTGCTAAAATAGGGGAAATTATTTACTTCTAACACAAATATGTCAGAGTTAACATTTCAAAACTTCTTTAAAGATGAAAGGCACTTGCTATTATCATTATATAGCTATGTGCATACACATAATATATAAGTAATAAAATATATAAATAAAACTGCAAAATACAGCAGCTGTGATATTAATACTTACCAGAAAGATTAACTTTCCAAGCTGCTCATGGAGATTTAGGCAATAGATCCCATTAATATCAAAAGGTGTCACACAGTGAAATCACAGAAAACAGCTTAGAAAGTATAAGTGATATCTTATTAACCACAGAGTTAGTTTAGTGCTTAGATTTTTGAGAATTTTTATGATTCTTTATAATTTTCCCTATTAGGAAATGTTATGACAATATATTAATCAGCAGATATTTAAAGAATGTCTCTTTCTGTATTTGGTATCATAAAACTAGTAAAAGAAAAATCATTAAATACAATCACAAATAAATATTTCAGGTTAATATTAATTTAATATTATATATTTTGTAGTCATAACAATTCTGAGAGGATGAGAATATCTGCAATGGAAAGAATTGGTATGATAAAATACCTATGAATAAATATGAGTCAAAATGCACAAGAGTCATTAGAAAAAGTATTGAAAACAACCTTGACACAATATAGAAAGTGGATATAATCTTAGGAAAGAACAGTCAATACCACAAGGCTGATATTTCACCTATAAAAGGAAGTTCAGGTGCTACAAACAGGCTGACTCAAGTAAAGCTTTTCATGTGTATCTTATTACAAGATATTGACTTTTGAATATTTCTAAAAACTCATCTATTAAAAAGCCCCCCAATGTAAATATACTACTTTAAGGTGGGATTTAATGGCTTTGAACTCTGTACGCAGCTGAGGATGACCTTAAACTTTTGATTCACTTTGCCTTCACCTCCCAAGCACTGGGATTGCAGGGATGCACTACTGCTCTAGATTTACCTGTCTCTGTGTATTCAAACCAAAGTTTAAATATGCTAGATGTGCACCCTAACAGCTGAGCTTTATATTCAAACCTGGATGTTAAAATTAATTTTTAAACAATTAAATGTCTGCAATAATACACACACACACACACACACACACACACACACACACACACTCCACATTCTGTTAAATTAAAAACAATTAGTCATGTCAAAATGTAGGTTTGTAAATAACCATTTTTGTTGAAGAAAATTTACATTGACATTTTGAGTTCAAGTACTATTTATTCTTCTTGGCTATCAGATGTTTAGGGATCATTTTCAGGTAAATCACAGAAAAATAATTTTTTCTACCTAAACACCACAGGTAGAGCATGTAATATAATAAAATTGTTTTAAAGATTATCCAAAGTATACAAGTTGCCAGAAAATTTTATCATGTAAAGACTTCTTCACTAAATAATAGCTATTCAGAACAATGCACTACTTCCCCCTACCCCTGTAAAATTACTAGTATTGACCCATTCTCAAGGACAAAACTTAAGTTCTCTCAAAAGGCACATTGCTTTTCTTTTAGGACTAGGATGTAAAATATTCTAGGATTGATAAAAATAAAAATACAAAAGAAAATAAAATACCTCCATTATCAGTCATGGTTTTACAGAGGTTAAATTTTCCAATTTTTGGCCACTTTATTCTCAAGATTAATGATTGCTGTAGCTGAAAAATAAAACCTGCAGTTGAAGACACATGGCACACATCTTGCTATAAGGCTGACACCAGGTTCTTCAGCATTTACTAATGTGATGTTGAAAGATAGCATACAAAAAGAAGACATACCAATAATCTTTTGGCAATTATTTCTCTCTCACAGTTTCTGCCAAGCTGGAAACAAATGTCAATTATATTTCTTAATTGGATTCATTTCCAAACAAATATAGTCATTCAGAAAAAGTTTCTAAACAATTCTACACATAGAATTAATAACAGCACAGAGCACTCACTTAGCCAACTTCTGAATAAACATCTACAACAGAATAAAAAAAAAGTCCAACATAAATAATAATTAAATTAGGAAGCATTTTTCAGCGAGTTTTTAAATAGTTATAAATTACAATTGATAAATCTGCTTGATGTGAGTGCACATTATGCTTTTAGTAACAAAAAGATCACCATGTATTTGAAATTAGTAAATAAAAGAGATCAATTGAAGTTTCAATATACAAATACTGTCATTTCAGTGGATTTCTGGCAATACAAAAAAATCCAAGATTCATGTCCATTCTTTAACCGCAGATAAGAAATATCCAAAGGGAAGGAAGCAATTATGAGTAGATTTGAATACAGAGTTACAGGGCAGCTTTTGTCTTAAATTAGCAACTGTGCCCTTATTTTAGTAAGAATTGTGATTAATGTACATGAAATAAAAATGAAAATGCATAAGGCAAATGCCTATTCCCTAGGAACACACAGGGAAGCAGATAGGCTAAATGCAGATCTTCCCCTATCTTTCTGCTCCTCCAAATCCAGTTGCCTAGTCATCCCTAGGTCTTCATCAGACCACAAGCTTCTGCCTCTCCTTCTATGATGACATAATCTCCAATTGATTACATACATCTTTCCCTGAAATCTCCCCTGAACCCCGGCCACATTCCCAATAGATGTGGTGATATTTGTTTATTATCTAACAAAGTTTTCCTGAAGACGGGAGTACAAAACTTGCCACACTAGTTAGCCATAGAAGTCAGGGAGTTGTGGCACACACCTTTAATCTTAGCACTTGGGAGACAGAGGCAGATGGATCTCTGTTAGTTCAAGGCAACCCTGGGCTACACAAAATTGATCCAAGCTAAAGGAAAAACAAAACCCACACAACAGTGATCCCAGCACTTTGAGTGAAATGCCTTTATTCCCAGCACTAAGTAGGTGGAGACAGGAATGCATATGGCTTGGTGGAGAGAGGTATATAAGGTGGGAGGAGACAGGTAGGCAGTATAGGGAGTCTAGGCACTGTTTGTCTACCCAAGAACCAGAACCAGAGACTAGATAGCCTAAGGACCTACAGTAAAACCAAATACTGTATTGTTATAAAACAAAAAACAAACTCTAGCAATAAAATGACACCTAGTGATATTCTTCTTTACTCATAGATTAGTTCCTTGCACAGCCAGGATCAGGAAAGATTGCTACTGCAGCAGACAGGAACAAATACAGAGAACAAAACAACATCTAGAAATACTGCAGAGAATGAGAAACCTTGGAATACTCAGCCATAAAGGGATATCCCCATTAAATCTCTCCCATCAGGGCTCAAGGAAACTTGTGGAAGAAGAGACACAAAGGGTGTAAGAGCCAGAGGGGATGAAGGACACCAAGAAAATGATGTCCTCTAAATCAACATAATCCACACACATATAAATTCCCAGAAAATAAGCAAGTATGCCCAGGACCTGCATGAGTCTTCATCAGTGTCTCTACATTCATATTATAGCTCATTCCAATATATGGTGTTTATGAGATCCCAGAGTGTGTGAACAAGTTAGTCTTTGTTTCTTGTGTACTCACTTGAGCTTTTTTCTCTCTATGATTGTTTTGATTTTTCCCAATGTGTTTTTGTTTTATGTTTGTTTTCTTATGAGACACAAAAAGGGAGTAATTCCTGATGGGAGGAGAATAAGGGAGGAGCTGGGAGAAGTACAGGGAAGTGAGACTGTAGTTAAGATATATTATGTAATGAAACTATGTTCGCTGCATTATTTGTAATCGCCAGAACCTGGAAGCAACCTAGATGTCCCTCAACTGAAGAACAGATAGAGAAAATGTGGTTCATTTACACAATGGTGTACTACGTGGTGGAAAAAATATAATGGAACTTTGAAATTCACAGGCAGATGGATGGAACTAGAAGAAATCATCCTGAGTGAGGTATCCCAGTCATGAAAAGACAAACATGGTATGGAGTCATTCACACATGATTTTTAGACATAGAGCAAAGGATTACCAGTCTACAATCCACACTGCCAGAAGAGTTAGGAAACAAGGAGGACCCCAAGATTGCATAGTCCCTTGAAGAAGGGAAGGGGGACAAGAACCCTTGAGCAAAGTCGGAGCATGGGCAGAGAGGAAGGAGGTGGGAAGGGAAGAAGGGCAGGGGGGAGGAGAACAAGAGGACTGAGACAGGGGAGGAATAGAGGAGGGCAAGAAAGGAGATGCCTTGATAGAGGGAGACATTACAGGTTTGGAGAGGGGTCTGGCACACAGAAAATATTAGAGGATCCACAGGGAGGACCCCAACTAAGAATCTAGGCAGTAGTCAAGAGGATGCCATTGATGCCCTTCCCCTATAATGATATTGATGTCTACCTTGGTTACCATTCCTAGAGCCTTCACCCAGTTCCTGTTCGAAGCAGAAACAGGCACCCCCAGCTAGGCACTGAACCTACTACTGGATTCCAGTTGTGGAGAGGAAGGATGAGCAAAGGAGTCAAGACAGGGCTGGAGATACCTGCAATAACAGTGGACCTGAACTACTGATAGCACGGAGACCCTAGTTACAAAGCTGGGAAAACAGCATTGGACTGAACCAAGCCCTCTTAATGTGTTTCCAGATAGGAGGCCAAAACAGTCTATGGGACCTCTAACAATGGAGCCAGTCTTTATGCCTAGAGCACAGATGGACTTTGGGAGACCATTCCCTATGGAGGAATACTATTGCAGCCCAGATACAGCAAGGAGGACCAAGGCCCTCCCCCAAATGATATGATGGACTTTGAAGGTCCCCCCCCATGGAGGGCCTCACTATCCCTGGGGAGGAGTAGAGGGATGGGTTGGGGGGGGTTGGTGGGGAACATAGAAAGATTGGAGGGAGAGAGAATGTGGGTGGATATGTAAATATGAATGCCTCTAAAATTAAATAAAAATATCTTAAGTGAATATAAAAATTTTAAATGAAAGTACATAGTGTTTTTATCATTTTCCTTATTATGTCTACGAGTCTAGCTATAAAAAATGTATAGATTCTCAAAGTGAAGAAAAACTTTTATAAATATCTTAGAGAAATATATTAGCTTTCTGTTCATCCTTTGCAGGAAGAGAGGGTGAATTGTCCCACTATTAACATTTAAAAGGAAAAAACATATAGAGTGCTAATTTATCACTGGTCCTTAATCTAAATTAACTTTAATTTGTTTCTTTGGTGGATCTCCATTTTGATAATATAACAACATAGAAATCAGTGTTGATTAGTTTGATTTATATAGTTTATTTCAATATGCTGCAAATGAATACAGAGTAAATACAAATAATCAAGGTGTCATTAAGGTAAATTTATTTTATTCTTAGATAGCTTAATTTGAAAGATAAATGAATAGATGGAGATATAGATATAGTCTACATATAATTCTGTGATGATTAATCTCAGCAATTCATCACGTTCTACATAGCCTTTTTTTTTATCAAGCCATATTCCATAAATATCTATATTAATTTTGCTCAGTAATGAGTTGTTTGCATTGACGTATAGCACCATTAGAAATGCGGATGCTTAGAGAAGAAAGGATAAAATAAAATATACTTTGGTTGGAGAGATATTTCAAAGAATCATACAAAAATAGAAATATCTACCTCAAGACCCTACTGTATCACTCTTGGGTATGTAACCAAAGTGATTATCAATCATACTACAAGGACACATGTGGGACTATGATCATAGCAGCTTTATTTGTAACTGCCAGAACCTGGAAACAACCTAGTTGCTCCTAAACCCAGCTAAGACTCCTGGCAATAGTGGATATGTAGCCTGAACTGGACATCTCCTGTGATCAGATTGGTGACTAGCTGTCAACAGAGAGCCCCCATCCAGTAATTGATGGAAACATACAGAGACCCACCCTACAACAAAACCTTAAGCCAAGCTTGGATGATCCTGCTGAAAAGAGGGAGGAAGGTGCATAGGAGCTCACAGATTCCAGGACATCACAAAAAGCCCATAGAAACAAATTATCTGGTTCCAAGGAATTCACAGGCATTCAATAAACAATCAAGGGTCCTGAGGGGGATGAACTAAGCCCTTTTCATATATGTGACAATTGTGCAATTTGCTATATTTGTGTGTTTCCTAACA